TGTGGAGGAGCACAGCATGGTGCTGCAGACCTGCCCTCACATTGCGGTAAGGTAGAACCACAGACTAAGGGCAGAAGCACCGATGTGGTAGTAGGGTAGTGTAATCACTCGCTTGTGATTACAATTGCACTTTATTGGTCTGTAAATTAGTGTGATTAGAAACTTTCTGCAGACCTGACCTTGGGAAAGGAGGAGGAGAAGAAAAGGATAAGATTGCTTCACATTCTCCTAGAGAATGCGGTCGTTTCTGACCCATGTATGTCACATGAGACTTCCTATTTGGAAACATACGCTCTAGGAATTGTGTGCTTGGCAGTTCAATTTAAGAGCTGAAGGCCTTAGTAATGAGAGGGTTTATTTAGCCTTTTTTAATAAGACAGCTACTAACCCTTTAACTGCCTAGGGTTTTCCAGTCCTTTCATTAGTTAAAGCATTCAGCAATGCATCACAACATTTTTCCTTGCATGAGATTGTTCCTGCATGTGTGGCTTGATTATAATCATTTAGCTGCCCTGTAAGGCAGAAGAGCAGTGAAAAATAATATATTTCACCATCTCTCATATGCAAAGCCAGTGCTAGCTTCTCTAGCTTCACAAGGCTGTGAGTGACTACTAACCGTGCATGATAACCACTCCCGTCCTGACCTGTGGGCAGGTTCATTGATCAGATTATTTGGAGAAGAGAGGGATTAAAAGCACTGAACTTATCTCTTCTCCTTTTATTTTCTCTCTCCTTCCAAAGGAAAGTGAACTTGGTTTTGTCAGTGCTCAAGACTGTGCTAATGAGACCTGATTTTTTTTTCTTTCTTCCATTTTTTTTCTATTCTTGTATCACAAAAGGCTCCACTCCTCTCAGAGCAGTGCAGTTTCCAGTTCACCAGGTGTTCCTTTTTAATCAGGGAGCCAATTGCCTACAGTCAATAAAAGGCTTTAAGTGAGGAAGTAATAAACACTTTCTCTTATAACGAGAATAGAATTTGCAATCAAATAGTGACATGCCTAATGGCACTGAAATGTTATTACACTGACGGTCTTGTATTCTCATAAATATGCCTCAATTTGGGTATGAGGCAGAACTCTGTATTATGCTATGTGGTGATATGATGATATGAAGTTATTAAGCTGCCTGTTTGGTGGAGAGGAAACTTTGACAATTGAATGAATATGGATTTTGTCCAACAGGTTCAATTAACTCAAACCTCTCACTATTGCAGTGAAGCAAGTAGATAAGCAAGTGTGTATGAGAAGGTTTAAAAAAAATGAATGAGGCAGCATGTCAGAGAGCATTTTTCTGTACTGGATTGAATCTGTATAGGATTCTACATGAGGTTCCTTTTTGTTGGCTGCATTATGTGTTAATTATCTGTTGAAAACTAAATAGGAAAACTTAGTGTGTATGGAAAGTACAAAGCTGCTTGTGAAGATAAGCTGTAGGAGAGAGACCACTGAGAAGACAGTAATGATACTTCTAGAAATCGCTATTGTGTTCCTTTTTGAATAACTGGAGTAGATACTTGGCTACATATTTCTACTACTCCAGAGTATGCCTGGCCTGATCTTGTGGCTCCCAAATGATGAACTCGGGACTATCTAAATTTCTACCCTATAGGTCTTGAGTGAAGAGATTTCCTGTTGTTTTTTGTGGAATATGTCACTGTTACCTTTCGCCACATGCCATCTTGCAGCTCTGAAAGCCCAGTGCTATAGGACCAGCTGATGGCTGCAAATAAAATGCAAAGCACCTAGTGCTATGGAAGGCGTGTTCAGATAATCCGCTTCAGTCAAGTTGAGAGAAGAAAAGAGCAGAGAAAATGGGGCTCAGAGGAGAAGGGAGTAGGAGTGTTGCACATGAAAGAAGTTGAATAGGTTGGTTTAGTTTAAGAGATAAGTGACAGCATGGAGAAACAGAATACTTGGAATAACAAATCTTATGAGGGAAAGTCTGCCTGGATGCCTCTGATCACTTTTTCGTGGTCACTCAAGACTGATCAATAGAACGGGAGAAAGGCAGAAAATATAACTGCTCTATACCACATCATAGCCTGGATATTCAGTGTCATGTACTGTCCATCTTAGTTGACATTTGACAATAATGGAAATAGGTAAATGTGAATAATGAGAAACAAGCAACTGTATTAAATAGCTTTTTTCTAAAATAAAACTTTTAAAAAGATGTGTAATGATTCATGCTCTGAAACAGCTTCTGACACCAGGAAACACTCTTTTCTAGCAGTTTACACAGTTTATGTGAAGTAAAAACCAAAAATGCATCCCCAAAGTTGTTTGGGAAGTTGTTCACATCAGGGTGGGAGCTTGTAAAGTCCCATTAGCTCTCACTTTTATTGTCTGGCTTCTCAGTATATGGAACATGTATACAATGGAAAAACTTAGCATATCTCCCCAAACAAAGCTGAAACATTTGGCAGTCTGGAGTCCCTCCCCACACATCAGAGTGCAGGAGCAGAAAGTGAAAGAGGAGGTTAGCGCATGAGCTTGAGTCATGGGGGATAAATGTTTCTGTAGCAACCGCCTTTGAGGAAGGGAAAAAGGAGAACGGAGGGTCTCAAGGCAGAGGAAAGCTGTTGGCCACGGCTTGAAGAACCTGTCATGTCATGTCCTTGACTTCTTGGGGTTGGTCACAATCTAAATGCAAACTGGATTGTTCAATATTTCAGTTAATGGAAGGACTGACAACTGACAAAATCTGCATTTCAGTAAACGTTCAGTTTTTCTTCCAGAGTTGGATTTTTATTACTGTAATGAGAAACAAATCATTTGAATAAAATTTTTCACTCTTGAAGGTCAGATCATTTAACCACTATTTCGTGCTGAGCAGATCAAATATTGGACCTAGGTGATGTCATCCACAAACTCTTAAGTTGGTCTTGTGAAAAAAAAAAAAATGAAGCTTGTAGCGTGTGATGCAGTTTCTAATGTCTTGTATTTCAGCTGCTTTGATTTGTAGGAGGTCTTAAATTATCCCTGTTGTAGATGTAAACCCCAGCACAGTGAAGTTAAGCTACCTGGCTTGCTTTTCTCAGTAGCTTGAGACTTCTGGCCTCATAGAATCTGTGGACTATGAGCAATCATAGTAAGGATGATGTCACAGACTTTTTAGTAAAGGGTACATAGATTTTTTTTTTTATTCTTTTTTAACAACCAAAGTAGAGGTATCTATTCTGTCTGATGTGCAATTTATATGCCTGCTATGACTCATTGAAGCTGAAGGGAAAGGTGGGATGTGGGAAGGAAAAAATAGGAGGAGGGAGCTGGTGGGCAGATCTCGTATCACTCGAAGTAATTCTTTCTGCTGAATTCCTAGACACCTTATGCCAGCAATTTATATCTAAGGATCTAGCCTGAGAGCGTGTTGATTGAGAATATGTTAGATCTATGTCTGCACTAATGCTTTTGTCCAAAAAAGATGAATTCAAATCCAAACTGCATCCAAAAGTTATAAAGCATCAAGTGAAAGAACAATAACTTTCTGTGTGTATCTGGATATTGAACTTACCCTAGGCTGACGTATGATCTGAAAGCTACTGGGAAATTAGAGGGAACTCTGAGAGCAGCTTAAAGCATGACTGTGGGCTGGGTAACTGGAAGAAGCTGCAGTAACAGTTTTTGCAAATGAATAGCTACATTGGGAGAAAACACATCATTAAAAACAACAGAATACTATACATCCCATAAATTATTGATTACAGTAGTTTTGAAAAGAATTTGGATCAATAGTTTTGAAAAGAATTTGGAAAAAGTAAGGCTAATAACAGGAAAAAAACTCTAGACATGAGGTCTGTCAGGGCCATGAAAGTATTTTACAAGCAAAGTGATAGGAATCCTGCTAATTAGGATATTTGAAAACAGAGCTGGTAATTCATTATTAGATGTAGAAATCTGAGCACTGTAAATGCAGAGTTGATATCTGAATATATCTTAGCCTGATCAGAAGCTACAGCAGTAGGGTAAACCTGAAAGGTATCTTCCTGATTTAAAACTAGACCCATATCTCTCTCTTGACAAAAAGACTGGCAGTCTTGCTTCAGATTACAAATATCCTTTAAAACAGAAAACTCCATGGGGCATCCTCAGGGAAGATTTTTTTTTCTGTGAAGTTTTTGTGATTTTTTTTTTTTTTCTTTTTTCCTCTCTCTCCTGTGAAGTTACCACATGCAAAGGTGTGATGAGAGGTAACATGAAGTTGCTGTCAATCAATTACTTCTGGTTTGTCACTGTGACTTGTCACTGCTCCTCCGCCTTGTGCTACTGAAATTGCCAGGTTTGCTGAGGCACAAATACGAGACCTTTTAAAGCTTTTTTTTACAGTAAATTCAGAGTCCTTGTGTTTACCAAATACACAAATAGCACAGGAAAAAAAAAATCCTCCTCAGCAATTATTTCCTTTGTTGCCACTTGCTGCTTATGACAGGTATGTCTTGAAAGGAGGTGTATTTTGAGCTCTTTATGAATTATGCTATATAGGTAACATGAATGGTGCAGATTTCAAAGTATTTGGATACTTTCACAGACTTTAGAATCTCGATTTGCCTTAGGTCGTATCTTGATGAGTATAGGAAATTCTTGAAGAAAATGAAAATTACTTGCCTTTCTTCTAGTGCACCTTCTCAAAGAACCTAGTTTTAATTTGTTTTGAGACTTCTTGGCAATGGTCATGCAGTGCAAATGAATCTTGAAATGAAAATCGGTTATACTAACCTCTTATCTTATTCAGTTATTCTCTTCCTCACAGAAGCAAGGGTTAGTATAAGGTTTACATCTTTCTTTACCCTTTAACGGATCTATACTACATCACTTGAAGCGTCACTTAAAATTCTCGTATGGAAGGTGTTTAAGGGCTCGTTTCATTCTAGTCAGGAAAGTGATGACAGTGGCACCCTTCTGTTTTTCCACTAAACAGTCCAACCTGCACCAGCTTCACAGGGTATGCTTTTTCTCTTTTTGATGATGTCTTTATTTGACTATTTTTTAATGTGATTTCAGCTTCCAAACAATTTGCTGACGAGGTCCTGAAAGCGCACAATGACTATCGGAAGAAACATGGAGTCCCCCCATTAAAACTCTGCAAGAAGTTAAGCAGAGGAGCACAACAGTGAGTTCACTCCTTTCTTTTCTCTATTGAGATTTCTGTCACTTTTGTGGTCTGACTGTACATACTGGAGATATACTTGTATGTAATTTTTGATGTATTTTTGACATGCTGATATTAGACTTTCTAGGTGGAAAGTGAGAGACTTTATTCTCTTTCCCTCCGCTCCCATCTGTTCTTCTATCACATAACACCAGTTGTTCCTGCGTAAATTTGTCATCACAGTGCTGCAGATGTTCTTGCAACTTCTTCCAGATGTGGGCTGCATCTGTCTACACTGATGTGGTTCCCCCTTTGCTGAGGACAATTTCATAAAAAATGGTTCACCACTATCTGGTGCAGATAGTATATTGTCACCTGCAAGAGAACATGTTCTGTAGCTGACCTTCAAGAGGACATATTCTGTAACTGAAATGAGGGAAAAACAGGTTTTTCTCAGTGTAGGAAGTAATGACTGGTCTAAACTCAACAGGAGCAGAGGAAGTAACTTGAAGAAATTAAATTGTCTTTCCCTTGGTGTGAAATCATCACATTGATGTCCCTATAGACACACTGGAGCAGTCTAGCCTCTCTTCCAGTGCTGAAGTCTCCACAACTTCCGATCAGTTTAATCTATTGTGGAGTTATCCTTAGTTGATTCTTATTACTGTTTAAGTTTCCTTGCTGAAATTTGAGCCCATTATTGCTTGCCCTCTTTTCTGTGACAACAAGGACGTTAATTACTTTCCCTTTACAGCAGTGTTTCTCAAAGATATATTTGAAAATCTATCATGATATTCTGTTGTTCGGACTGAAGAAGAACTCATATTATAAAGGAAATGTGTTGGAGAAAATGCTCATTAAATTATTCAGAATCAAATGTCTTCCCACCTCATTATAGCTAAATGTTGGCCAATCTGATCCCTGCAGACACAAGAACTTATTTCCTACTAGGCTTTCTACTATAACCATACAGATTTCTCTAAGCTAGCAAGGCTGTGCAGGTTGCAGAGTTTGATTCTCAGTCTCAGCTGGTGCAACTCTCTGCTCCATGGATGCATCTGCTCCCTCATCCCTACATCGGAAATCCCTAACAGACACCATGCTGTCCAACACGCTGTACCTGGCATGCTGACCTGCCCTCTGCAGCAGGCAGACTCTTCCCCTGTCTTTCCCCTCCGCCCCCACGCATACACATTCTTTTGAGACACCAGGATAACTGGATACAGTATTCTGGGAGATGGAATGACAATGACTCATGTGCATGCCTTTGTAATCTGGGTTTTTCTTTCTTATTCTTCAAGGGTTTGTTTTGTTTCTATTTTTCTTTCACTTGCTGCCTCACAGCAAGAAAGAGATTTCATTGACTTGTCAATGGCACTTGTGTCTTCAAAGTGGTTACAGTGGGTTTAAACAAAATAGTTTGTATGAATAGTTCAGATTAGCCTATCAAATGTACATTGGCTCCACACTTATCTCTGAATTTGCTATTGCCCTTGCTGGCTATTTTTAGGTCCTTCTAAAATTCCTCAGAGTCTTCCCTGGTCCCAGCTGAGCCTCCTCCCTGTGAAGCCCAACAGTGGGAAACCTGTATTCAGATGCTAAGTTACTAACTTTACTGCTAAGGGACTTGTTCAGAGACTGGTGCAACTGGCAGGTAACAGGAGCCAGAAATGACTGAATAGAAGACATCAAATATAAGAAATCATATATTTCAAGACAGATTTTCCACGATCTAAGTTTAAGGAAGAGCTTCACCTTTTGTTTAGGTGTATCTGGTATCCTTAATGCAAATGTTCTCTGCTCTGTGACTTAAAAAGCAAGGGTAGCACTCATCTGCAACTTCTAGTACTTGCTGTACTCCTCCGTGTTGGAAATGATCCGTTTCCTACTGTTTCCAGTCTCAAGAATTGAGACAGATGAATTGACTGTTGGACCCCTACTTCAGGGTGGGATGAGTCTGTAGGTATTCTGTAAATACTTGTTTATCTCCAAAGGTTACAATCTCAGATTCAGACATCAAAACTTCAGATGCCTGACCCAGAGCAAGTTAATCACATCCTTTGCCTCAAACGCTTGGCAGCTTCGTCCAAGTGCTATGTTTACTTAGTTCCAGGCTTGCCTTTTGCTTTGAACGTGTGCATCTCTGAAGAGAAACATGTCAGAATTGCAGCGTTATAGGGCCTGAGGAGATTATCTGGTTCAGGATCAAGCAGGCTAACAACGGAGAGGTTTTCATTATTTCTAAACAAAATGATTTTGCTGCAGGATCAGCAAAATGCTCTCCCCTTTTCTAGTGAGGGGACAGGAATAGGGCAAAAGGAAATTAGAACCTAATAACTAAAGATCTGACTCGGGCCATAGTGTCAAGCCAGACCAATATCCTGTCTCTGAGAGATGCCAGGAGGGAAGGTAAGAAGTAACAGGACAGAACAAAAGTATTGGTCCTTCCCCCATTATCTCCTCCTGGAAATGTCTGCTTATGGATTTCCTAAGCATCAGACTACATCATCTTCATTGTATTTAATATACCTTTATGATTTTACCCCCCTATAAATTTGTCCTTTTTTTCTTTCAAAACCACTTGGGCTTTGGTCTCTACATCATCTGGTGGTGATGAGTTCCGATAAGTGGGTAATGTGTTAAGAAGGTCACTGCCGTATTTGATCTTAATTCAATTATGTGATGATTGTGTGTGTTGACTCCTATTTCTTTTGCTGAGAGAGACAGCAAATCGTCATTCCACTCTCACTGTCCTAGTGCTGAAGCCTTTCCAATTTTGAGTAAGAGAATAACCACGTTTTACACAGGATGTTCTTGTTAATCCTATTGTGCAAAGCCTTTTTCTTGTTTGTTTGTTTGTTTGGTTTGGTTTTTATATTACTACACTCTTGCCCAAGTTATCTCCTATAAGGACAGTTCTATGTATCCTTCATAAGTACACACTATTATTACCTGAGATTTTCATGGTCCCCTTCTCTTCAATACTGCTTCTTCCTTCTCTCATTACTGCTGCCTGGCATATTATTCCTGGTTTTATATTTGATGGGTTTTTTGGGTTTTTTGGGTTTTTTGGGTTTTTTGGGTTTTTTGGGTTTTTTGGGTTTTTTGGTTTTTTTTTTTCATTTCTAAATATAAGCTTTTTTTACACTTGCTTTGATTGAATCCCTGTGTCAGTCTATTTATCAGGAACATTTATGTTCACCTCACTTACTTGCAGCAAGTCTGTGCTTATCAGCTAGAATTGTTTTAAGTGAACCTTTTATTCTGCTGGATGTGTCACTGCAGAGGCCCCAGGATAGGCTACTGCAAATATATCCTGGAAATACCCTTTTGGTTTGACAGCAAATCATTGACCTAGCCTGGCTGGGAGGTTTAGATTCTGCTCTTTCCCCAGTTTATGAAGCCTTCATCTGTGTTCTAATTTCTAAGCCCCATCATCTCTTGTGCAAGTGACTCCCATGCAGTGCCCTGGAGTCATCAGGAGCTGCCTCTTGTAGCAGTTCCTGCACGTGCTTCCATTTTCCTTACCTGCTACAGCTGAGGATAACCTGTGTGGGTCTCAAATGTGGGCAGCAAATGGCCATTGCTTCCTCCAGGCCCTCCTCAGCAGGGAGACCAGCCCTTATGTGGGACGGAGAAAACGACGGGACCTCTAGACCTTCTCTTTTCCTTACTCATAGATCAAAGCATCCTTGGCCTCAGGGATTTGGAACTGAGTTACTTAGCTTAAATCCCCCTCTTAATATAATTCCTGGTTTGCATTCCTCCCTCTTCCTCCTCTCAGGCTGCCCCTGGCTGCGGTCCGTGACATAACGTGTGGATTCCTTTGCTAGGTATGCAGAAGAACTGGCCGCCACAAGGGTCCTCAAACACAGCTCTGAGTCTGCTAATGGAAAATGTGGAGAAAACCTAGCATGGGCATCCTATGATCAACCAGGTAAACTTTATTCTTTTGCTGTCTCGCAGACATTAGATAAATGATGATTTTTAAGTACTTTGGTCTCAGGGCATGAACACTGACTGGATGTCTTGGCTGTGAAAGCACCAGCGTTTTCCCTGCTCTCAAAATCCAAACAGGTTTGTGGGATGGGATGGGGTGAATGTCTCTGTCCTGACTATGGAGCTGCCTGGAGTGCTAGAGAAGCTGTGGTACTTTGATGTCCAAAGTAGCAGAGGAGGAAGCCAGCGGTACCCTGTTCTTCATCTTCATCAAAGAAAATACTCCGTACCCATACTGGGTGGGATACATGATGTACAGCCTTCAGTCTGGATGCTTGAGAAGCTTTATTTCAGTCACACTGAAAGCCTGTGATGAGTCAGAACTGTGTTCAATGAGCAATTCTTTCCTTCCTTTTCCGCTGTGCAGGGTTAATGCTCAGCCTGCTCAGAGACCAGGTGGCAGGTATTAAGTGACCATTTGCTTCCTTTATTTCTGTCTTCCTCTGGAATTTTCAATACAGCCTATAGGGAGGGAGAAGCTCCTTTCTGCAGACTGTGAACCCCATTTTAAGGATCTGGGAATTTAGTAAATGAATTCTATACCTAGCGATACTACTAGGCTCCTTTGCCCTAGTACCTGAAGGGTACTGGTTCATAATTTAAAAAAAGGAGTGGAGGTGGTAGAAAATACAGTACTGTTTGGTATTTTGCCCTTTGCAAGAGTCTGAAGGAAGAGTTTGGTGTGATACAGGGGACCACAGATGTATGGCAAAGTGCCTGTAGTGTCTGTGACTCACCGACTGAGCTTAATTCTTCCCTCTCTGTTAATATTATTGGTTCATTCTTCCGCCCCCAATGTTAAGAGTCACAGAGTTCTCATTTAGAAAGCCAGAAACAAAATAAACAGATCCTTTCATAAATTATATAATAACTATCCTCTTTTGGATCATATTTGTTTTTTTTTTCTACACTCTGTTTCCATGCATAGCTTACCAGTTTCAAGCAGTTTTATTGCTATATTTTATCTACAGGACTGAGTGCCTTGCTGAGAAACTTCAGCTACATCCTCCTCTGTTCTGTGAAATGGTCACAGTATTTCCTTACCTCCTACATTTTCTACATAGGAAGTTGTTCTTTTGTCTCCTTGGACTTTGCCTTTGTGTCACTGGTTCCTTCTTCCTCTCTCTCCTTCACATGGTTGGTTCCAGATAGTTTGTTTGTACCTTCTCAGTGAGGCTGAGACACTGGGTGCTGGGCATCTATTCAGGCCCTTAGCAAAGGGAGTCGGTCTCATCCAGCTTCCTTCCCCGATAAAGCAAAACTTGAAAACTTGGTAAATCTCCCATATACCACAGATTGTCTCTAAAAGGTAATTTTTGATGCTGTTGTTTGGTTTGACTCTTGCTCAGTTCTGCAGGAATGCCACCAGATGCATTCTTGGTTTGGTGGGGGAGCAGGGTGGAGAAAAAAAGCTGCAGAAACCTCCGAGCACGACCCTTTCCCAGCCTAAAAATCCTTTAAACTCTATTCAGGTTCTTGGAGTTACACAGCCTAAAGCTGTGGCTGGAAATGTGTTTATCCCTGTAACCCAAGAAATAGGAGACAGCTGTTTCCTCCCTCCGGTCCCGCAGAAATTGCTGTGTGTCAGTTTTTTCCTTGCCTGCGCTCAAATAAGCGAACTCTCAGTTGCCACTAGTGCTGGAGACTGCAGCCTGCCCTGGCAGCTGTGCTATATCAGCTTTCCTCGGATGCCTCCTGTCATTTCTCATGTGTCAGGAGACTAACGGCAAGCGCTGGATGACACAATCCTGTCCAGGGCCTACGGTGTTGCAGTCAACGATGTGCCCTGCTGGCCAGGAAAACACTGCAGCTCATGAATCTGAGATCAGAAAAGGGGAATTCACTGTGCATCATCCCCTAAATGTTACAGGGATGGGAAGAACCTGGGTCTGGACCTGTGGGCAGGGTGGCACTGATGCCTTCTGCCCCAGCCCTGAAGGAACACGCTCCCACAGAACTGCTGCCACATTTGAGCCTAAGGCCAGGCTCATTCAGTGCTGATGCGGGGGGAAAACGGACCTGGATGAGGAATTTAGAAGCAGAAGATTAATTCATAGAACTATTACCATGACTCCTATTTAGGTAGATATATTATCTCTGAGGGAAATTTAAAGTTAAATGGCCTGTTTTGTATTAATAGTTATTTGCCATTTTTCACTGAGGCTGGTGGAAGAGAGGTTATAAGAGAGACTGCAAAAGTGCTCAAGGAAAAATTTGAACTTTATGGCTTGTGTATTTTTTAAGTAGGCCTCCATTCTGCTGCCCCTCCTCACACAGAAATGTCCTGTGTGCAATGATTTTATTTATTTATTTTCATTAGAGTGCTTTTATCTACTCAGTGGTATAACTTGAGTATTTAAGTATTTTGTAGTATAAGAAAAACAGCAGGGAAGTGACTGCATATGGAACAAATGATAGAAACACCATTAATGTCTTTGCCGTCAGATACCTGGCACTGTTCTGAAAAGGTGGAGTTAACAGAATAACTTTTCCTAAGCCTGAGTAGGTCAGGCAGCACTAGGAGAAGGATGAAGCCAAACTGTGTTTCCGTATAAAAGTGTTGAAACTATAAATGTGGTTTATAGTTTATGAAGGCAGAAAGGATATTTTAAAAACCAACAGGTTTATAGTAATGGCTTTTGCCAGTGAGACTGCAGAACAGAAATATCTGTATGGACTGCAGGAGAGATCTGCATGCTGTTTTCCACCATTTCTGCTATAGTCTGTGATGAGAGACGGGTATGAGATTTGTGTGTGTGTGTGTTCTTTCCTGCTAATTGAGATGTATTTTTACAAGAATCAAACAAAGCTTTAAGAGAGCTTCCAGCCCGGGGGAAAAAATGCAGAAGAAAAATATTTCAGAAGAAAGAAAGTGTTTAATCACTAGGTACTGCCCTATCTTCTCACATAGTAATGCCTGTCACATAGGAATCCCTTCATCTCCCCAGGCCTGCCACATCTGACAGACACAGTTCATTCCGTTGCCTTTCTATAGTGCAGTTTCAGGGTAGAGTCTCTCTAAAGCTGCCTAGACCTTTAGTGCCTTTCTCTCTTGCCGGGAACACGTTGATCTTTCATTTCTTGCAGCCTGTGATGTGATGGTCCCTTGATTCGAGGCGGATGACAGCAGCGCCATGTAATGCTACACTGATTCACCCTGCGGATGTCAGAGCACAGCTGTCAGCTTCTGGGCTCTTGCATCCTGCCTGCTGCAGCGCTCCATGCTTTCATCAGCTAGGGCTGGGAATCAGCACATCAGCCTGTGTTACAAAACTGCTCATTCTCTTTCATGCACGGGATTGGGATATCCTTGCCTCGTGCCACTGTCATCTTCCTTCAATTAACAAGTTATAAACTTTTCACATGACGATGTTCAAAAAGCTGCTGTGAGCTGCTGTCTCTGTTACAACTTTCCTGTGTCTTGTAACCTTTCCATTTAGCAGTTAGACCTCCTGTCACAAGAGGTCTACACACAATTGTTAGAGCTGCAGTAAACACAGTGGGGTTGATGTTTGCTTGAACTACTCTTTTTACATCAATATATTGCAGTCACATCAACATATTAAAGGAGAGAATGATATGCTGGTAGTGCTGTGAAGCAGATTCTGCATCTGTAAAACTTTACTTACATATTGTAGTCACTTAACCAGGTATACATAAAAAATATATATTATACATAAAAATATATGTTCTATAAGATCTGTCGTGTCTGCTGTCACATTTTCGTCATTTCGTCCTCCATAGTTTTTAGGGTGGTATAGAATGATCTAGAATGATCCATTTGGGTTTTTCATTGCCTGCTTTTTTTCCCTTGAATTAAATAAATATGAATCTTCACACTTTATTTCCATTATAAATTTTAGCCATAAAACAAATTGATGGGGTTTGTTGTTTTGGGTAGGAAGTGTATGCAAAGGAAGAGCATATTCTTATTCCTTTTCATTCCTATTTACTTAGAGAGTCAAGAGTTGTTGTGCTATCTGTTAGTGTGAAAAATATATAAATGAGCTCTTCTAGAGAGCACCAGCCCAGCAAGCAGTGTGGTGTAGATAAATTCACAGTTATCAGTGTCTAAACCTACACAGCGATGGCAGTTCACTCCATGTTTTGTATTCAGTGACAGCTCTGACCTCCAGGTTGCCAGGCTAACAACAACATCACCTAACAGATGGAAATCATAAACATCTGAAATCTAAACATGTAACAGCTCAGTGTCTGACTTCTCAAACAGTGTAAGTTTTAGACTTTTTTTCTGTAAAATAGCAAGACATGAGTCATTGCTGTTCTGCAGCCAGCAGTCCACCAGAGACCAGCCTTCTGCATGACTTTAGGCTTAGCAGCTTTGGCAGCTTGCTCTGAAGTTGACTGACGCTATGCTCGACTTCCTGGAGTGCTCAGTAGAAATTCCATTATCGATATAGCTCAGGGAAAAACCTGGACCCACCCCAGTGTCTGATGTAAGTATTTCCTAAAAAATAGTAATGGAAAGAAAAAATGTTTGACTCTTGACTGCACAACATCTGCAAGTTCTGTTCTGGGCTTCTGCCCTCTCTGTTGTCTGTTCTCCCTGGTTTATTGCAGATCTACAGCATCTGCTCCCTTCCACCAGCTTCCCTAACTGTTCAACACAAAACAAGAATGGATTATTTCTTTGGCAAACATTGTCACCCACAGAGTCCTACAGATGCGTATTGCTATATCAGTGGTGATTGTCATAGCACTCATTTTGCAGCCAGGCATCAGCAAAACCTTTTGATGAAATGAGCTGGCAATGCTGGACACAAGGACCTCCATTTGGTAACCCCTAGGCACATGTAAATCTGAGATGTCTGTCTCTAATTTGAAGTACTAGAGAGCTTCAAAGTGGAAATCCATAATGACTTAAGTGCTAAGCAAGAGCATTTAGCAATTTCTTTCTGAGTACTTTTATTCTTAGTGGCTCTTATTCCAGAAAACTAGAGCATATTGAATATCTATTTCTTTTTATTCTGCTTAGAGCTGTAAGGAGATGTTTTCATACACTTGGATTCTCATGTGGAAGGCATGTCTGTAAGAAAAGTCCATGTGCCATTTTGCTGAGAACTTGGCAAAACTCATTTATGTCTTTTCATCCATGTGCCAAGAGGAGGAGCTGGTGGGAGCTAACTGTAGAGCCCCGGTGACCAGAGCACTCCTTCAGCACCAGGGAGATATGTCTTCACTACCTTCCGGACTGGGGCTCAAACCTGACACCATCTGCTCCTCTAAGGACTTTTCAAAGATGTCATTACCCTTCAGTTGGAGTTAAAGTGTTGACCCAAGTAATGGAAGGGAAAGTACATCGAATTAGGCACAGCTTGGCCACTTTTTATTTGGTCAAAGAGGTAATTCCTTCCCAACTCCCTTTATAGTCCCCATTACTTCACTACCAAAAGGGATTTCTGCCCCATCTCGATCCGAGCACTGCGTCACACCAATCTCTCTTCTTTGAAAGCCCTTCTAGTTTCGACACTGCGAAGTTTTAACTACAGCCAAAAATTGGTGTATGGTCCTATTTCCTGATCTGGTGGTGGAAGTATTGCACTCTTCATCCGCTCTATCCTTCCACAGGGGCACCTTGCTGCAGAGATCTTCCCTGGAGGGGATGACCCCTGTGCAACTGTATGGCTCCTAAATGGATCATCTATGTAGGATTTGATTCTATGATTCTGTCATTTAAGACAGATTATACTGGCCACATAGTTACTTCAGTGAAGAATTTGATGTACTGTTTTGTTTTTGCTTTTTTAAATCAAGATGTTGAGAAAAGCTCATGTAATTGATTGCATGAGATGATTAACAAAAGCCATCAGACGTTGTTGCTGAATATCAACAGCTTAAAAAGACTATTTCTCCATGTTTATAGATGTTGTCTTAAGTTGAACGTTTCTTGCTGACTCTTAACAGAAGACTTTGATGGCCAGGCTTTAAGTGAGCTACTTTTTTTGTGTGTGTTTGTGCCTGTCATGATTCCACAGCAGATTTCTTTTCCCTTTCAGGAAAGGACGTAGCTGACAGATGGTACAGTGAAATAAAACATTATAGTTTCCAAAATCCAGGGTTTTCTTCTGGGACAGGTAAGCTCAGGCAGAGCACTGTTGCTCCAAAAGTGCAGCTTTTTCTTTTAAGAAATTGATTAGCTTACTAGTTTCAGGATTTTACATTACTTTTTTTTTTTTTAATAAAAAAATCTAGGTGAGGGCAGGAAAATAATTTTTGCAAGGACTTCTTTCAGAAAATGACAGAAGCTTTAACAAGGAACTGTAGTAAATGAGGAAGTAAACAAGATTATATATACATGTATATAAATTTAATACTTTTTTTTACCTTTCAATGCCAGTGATTTTAAAAGGCATCTTATTTTTAAGACAGATTAATTTGGAAAAGTTATGAAAATATAACTGAGATCATACAGGTGTCTATTAAATTTGTACGTCAGTGTTCTCTACCAAGTGCATCACTGAAATCATAGAGATTACTTCAGATTTGGACCTCGGCCACAGCCCATTGGCTGCATACTGGTAATCTGATGTTGAATGAACCTAGGAACATTGTTCCCAAGCTTGTTTAAGATGGGAAAAATAATCACTTATTTCTCCTTGAGCTTGCCTATTTATAGAGGGAACAATTGTTGGAGGAGCACAATTAATGGGTGGCTATTAGAACTTCATAGAAGAAGAAAAAAAAAACACACCAAAAGCAGTGTAATTTTGAACAGCTATGCGTTCAGACATGATTGGAGAGGATCAGATGTTCAAAGAAAAGGAGTACTACTCCTTGGCAATACTGCTCTTTGTCAATCCTATTGCAGGGAGTAAAGACTGTGATGTTTGCTTGGGAGTTTTTGGTACCATATACTCATCAAATTACTTCTTTCATTACTTTTTTAGGAGATATTCTTGCTTGGAAATGACACATAGAACTGGGAATATTAGTGGAGAATATTATTGTGCTTTTTAAGGCAAAATGCTACATCTCTGGTTTTTTTTTCATGTTCTTTGTTTGTTTACCTGTTAAAGAGACCAATGCAATTTTATATGCTTCTTTGCTTTTTTTCCTCAGGAGTTAAAAGGAATTTTATAGATTTGGTACTTAAAATTAATGCATCTGTTTTTCCCTGATTCTTTAGGTCACTTCACAGCAATGGTTTGGAAGAACACAAAAAAGATGGGAGTCGGAAAAGCCTCTGCTAGTGATGGTTCCACCTTTGTGGTGGCTAGGTATGATCCAGCTGGAAATGTAGTAAACCCAGGCTACTATGAAGAAAATGTTCTTCCTCCAAGAAAATAAAATTTCTTTTTTAAAGGTAGTCTTATTGCTTAATGCCAAGTGAATCTGGTTTTGGACTTGACAGTGTCTGAAGTGAAGTACAATTAAATGAAATTTCTTGTTCAATACTGCTGTTCCCTTCTTACCTCAGGGACGGCAGTTACTTGAGTCAGCCTGTTGTCTGTAGGTTCCATTTGTTTCTGAGGGAGCATCAGTTTATTTGGAAATGAAATATAGGCAGAATTTGCAAAGGGTAAGAGCTTGAAAGTTTTTTTAATAGTTTGCATTAATTCTGGGTGAGCATGTGAGTCAGCACATGTTGGATGTCTCTTTTTAAAAAGCAAGTTTATAGCTTCGTGTAAACTGAAGATATCAGTTTGTAAGTATATATTCCAGGTTTTTGGATATCTTTTAATAACTGTAACCTAGCTGTGTCTATACCTCTTGTTACTCTGGGATCTATTCTCTACAGATGGATCATATACAAATTCCTCCTTGTGAAAGGTACATGTGTGTATTGCAATGGAATTCAGACCTATATGTTTTTATTGAAGGAATCTCATTGAACACTATTTAAAATATTGCTGGCAAAAATGTATCCATCAAGCAAACTCTAATGTATAACCTGAAACCTACAAAATATTTCATTCCTAGCATTAAATTTTAAGAAGTAGCACCTAATGTATACTTGAACTGAAGTATATTTCAAGTCCTAATCCCATTTTACAGTTTACAGTACATACATTGTCTTATAATCAAATTGTTTACTTCCATTAAGGAAAACAAGTTATTCCCTTTCCCTTAGATATTTGCACTTGCTTTTTTTTTTTTTTAATTTATTGAATATTGTCAGTACCTTGCATATGAGCCATCTAACCAAATCAAAGAAGTACCAGTCTTGGCACGTCTTGTATCTAGAAAGTTAGGAGCTAAAACTGTGCATTTGTCAGACAATAGGGGTACAATGTATAGGTAGATATCTAGTACCAGACATGTGTAGAGTTCCCGATGTTGCACAGGAGCACAGGAGAAATGTATGTCTTTCTGGTGCAGCAGTTCTGGCCAAGACATCGGGTGCAGAAATACCTCTTATGTCCCCTGATTTTATGAAGAAACCTAGGTGGAAGTATGTTTTCAATTAAAAACAAAAAAAGTAATCTTGCCCAATTTATTAGTGTTGCCCCACAGGAAAAAAAAAAGTTTCTTTACAGTATCTTGCCTTTTGTTTCCCAATAACCTATTTTGGTTTCCTACAGAATACTTCCAGCAAGCATTATACTATACAGACAGTAATATTACCACGTGATCCTTTGTTCCCTTTAGTAATTTCTCTGTAGGAAATTGACTTTGTGTTGATATCTTAAAATAAAACTAAAAATATTTCCTGATTTAGACAGATACCATGAAACAATGATGGTGTATTTTCCTTAAAAACAAGCAAGCCAAACTTCTGGAAAGAAATATTTCTCATATAAAATGTGGGTTAGGCTATTATAGTCAGGTACGTAAACTGTGCTTCAGGTTGGGGATTTTTTTCCCCTGTGTATTTGTTTTTGACTTCTGAGATTCTGTAGGCCAAAATTTGGTTCTCAAAGAGTGCCATTGCAGATATATTTCTTTTGTTTACACAGTTGTAATAAACTGCATTGTTATGGCTTAATATGTCACTCCAGCGCTGTGTGCTACAATTTTTTGCTGTAACCAAGAATTTATCACACAAAATGAAACATCTGGAAATTAAATATTTTTGAATATGAATTATCAAGTCTGTGCTATTATCTCAATCTTTCTTGAGTAATCTGGAAACTTTACTCCTGAGACATTGACATAGGACATGATTATTTCTGTAATACAAAGAAAAGAAAAAAGTAGCAAGTATTTTAGTGCAGGAAAAAAAGGAGAAAGACTTTCTAACGAAGTGGAAATCACACACCAGATCAAAATGCCTATCATCTGTTTGGACAAAGTTTCAGTTAACAGTTGAATCCAAAGCTGAATATCCAAAGGCATATCCTTTTCTGTTGAATGCCCATTTCTATTTTGTTTTGTTTCTTCTGTGCTCTCTCTACCTCTCAGTACCTCTACCTCTCAGCAAATACCTACTTTGCTACCACTCACGCAAGTTTTTACATGTGTATTTAGGTAGTTGTAGCCTTTGGGCCTTCCCACCTACAAACATTATTTGAGAAATATCACAATTCCAAACACAATTTTAGGCAACATCGTGTCAACTCTGAGAATGTGAAAAGACTTTCCAAAACAAATGCTTGCTGTAGCTAACATAAAGTTAAAAGCTGGTGTTGAATTACCTATATTAAAGCACTCTCTTCTGTCTTTTTTTTTTTTTTTTTTTTTTTTGTATTACCATTGCTGCTATTGGCACTTCCAATCCTTGAATTGTTGGTGCTTATATCCTAGTTGTGCTTATATCCTAGTTGAGTGAATGAATTTTCTCTGCTACATCTTTGTTTGTTTTTTTATGTAAGAGAGAACTGGAGAAGTGGGTGAAGACAAGCTGAAACAAAGCAAACCTAGGACAGTAGTTACCTTTATTAAAAATGATACTGGCAAGAGAAGTTCCAGAGCTATTTAGAAAGAGTGTTTTGAAGGAATGTCAAAGATAATCAGCCATGGAAGAAATGCAAATCCATTCAAATAGACACAATACACATGTCATGCATTTTATGCAGATTTCAAGCAGTTGAACGTGACTGTAACAAATTGTAGTAATTACCAACTTAGTTTTCAGCAAATCAAGCTCATGATGCTCCATGTTGATGCCTTCTGCATGCCTTCCGTGAACGAACACCAGCTGTGCAGTGAACCACAGCATAGATAGAAGTCAAAAGGCAAAGGGAAGAGAAATATTGCTGGTGTGACTCATTCAGAAACCCTGTGATCCTTGGGAAGCATACATGAAAATCTGTGTTGAAAGACCCTGTGTTAGTGTAGGTGTACTGCTGCACTCCCCACCAGTTCCTGGAGACTTAAGGAGATGGGGAGGTGGCAAAAAAAAAAAAAAAAAAAAGTTGTCTTTTCTCATGTTAATGCAGAACAAGACTTTCAAGAGCCTCTTCAGCCAAGATTGTACATGTAGGTGAAGTTGTACCTGCTCTGGGAATAAAGAAGAGTTTTGTCTGATCTGATGGCTCTCATACCAAGAAAAATTCCAATCAGTACAGACCTGTAGATGATACCTAAATTCTTTATGCAGCAAGAGAAGGAGGAATTGTAGCTGGCCTGGGGCTTCATTGTCAGTCTTATGACTTAAATAATGACAAATTATACAGGGAAGAAGTGTGGCTTGGTCTTCAAAACATGCCAAAAAGGGAGTGTGCATAACCAATTTTTCAGCTTCCTTCTTTCATTTTTTTCAAGAGGATAAAAAGATCAGCAATTTCCCTTATGAAATGTGGAAGAATGACATTATGACAGAATGACATCTATGAAGTCTGTTGGTAGAAGTACCATTGTAAGCCCACAGATCTGGTTTTGCCTAAAGTGGATAACATTTGTTAAGGCAGAAAAATAAGTCACGAGAGCATTACTTTTGAAAGCATAGATAACAAGATTAATATTCTCCTCTAAAAATACTTCTACCATGAAGTTTCTCACAAGGCTGTTGTAATGACATTCTCTTCAGCATCTGGAAACTATATGGTAAGAATGTTGTTCTACACAAGCGGACCAGTGCACAAGCTGAACAATGATCATCTTGTAGGAAACTGATGTCCTCTTTTCCTGCAATTTAGGACAAAAGTTGCAGACTTCATAGGTCCACAGTCACTGCAAGAGAATCAGGTACTGTAGCATGAGAAGAAGCTGACTGGACTATCATCAGGCCACAAGGAGAAAGTCAGTGAAGATCTCTACGGCTGAACAGGGTTAACAGATCTTTGCTTGGATTCTATTCTGAATGGCCTTGCAGACTGCTAGAACCCAGTGTAGTTCTCCGAGAAAAAACAGTGAAATAAGCCTTGCTTACAGCACTTGTTCATATCAGTGTTTTTGTAAACTGATTTGGCACTGGAAGAAAATAGTTGTCTAGCAAGGCAAAATCTGCAAAAGTGGAAATGACTTTTTGTTTTGTAACAAATGAAGCCAAGTTATCGATGAGGTTTAAAACCATTTACACAACAGAAGCTGAAAACAGGTATTCCAGTCGTATTTTCATTGTATGAGAATTGGCTAGAATCATTTTAAATTCTGAAATATTTTATAGCTTCTCTGTTCAAATCTTGACTTGAACAATGGATATAATGTAATTGATTATGGCATAGTAAATTTATGTATACGTTGATGTGTGTCTACATTTTGAGGAAAAAGTATTCAAAGGGCAATTGGGAACAGACAAAATCAGCCTACCCAAAAAAGACTGAAAAGTCACATCACATGGATGTGCTCTCAGTAAAGCAGTTGGCTTGACTGGCTGGACTGCAGGTAAGTTCTGTTTGAACATCAGACTACTCCTGAAATGCAGACCTTTGCACAGTGTTCAACAGTGCCCTAAGATTGTTTTTGGCTTTTGTGACCACTCTTACATTGCAAGTATTTATCTGTCTAATTCAGTATTTAAATATCCTTTTCATTTGGCCCATTTTAATGGTAATATGTGGGCTGTGTTTTCAGCATTTGTTTTTTCCAGTATCCAAGCAGCAGACTGCAAAAAGGCAAGTGTGAATTCAGCCTAGGTTGGCTGGCATTTAGTTGGCCTCTGGGTTTGATACCTACAACAGTGCCACCTCTTTCTTCACCTCGAGACTTGTGAGAGAAGGGCTGTGTGACAGGTGGTAAGCTACAAGATAGGTGTCTGTCCGACCCCAAGCAGATCAGCAAAGGCATTTGAGATGGCATTAAAACACACAGTGATTCAAAGCTATTTCCTTCCCTTTTTGAACCTGTCACTAAAATCATCAGAAAAGAGTTTTCCTGGAAAGAACAGAGGAAAAGTCTGTGAATAGGCTGCTACAGTTATTGCTTAGAATAAAAGTGGAATTTTAAAATTATAGCATTATTTCTAACATGCAAGCTTAAGGCTAAAAAACCTGTCTACATCCCCACAGTGAGGTGTATCCTTGTCCTGCCCTTTCCAAACCATAGCAGAAGGTGGTAGCTGAAATGACTTTTAAGTGTTGCTCACTTCTCACTTGCCCATCTTGGGGAAACCATGAGTTAATTCCTACTCCCCAAAGCTTCAGGCTGGAGACTGTGGGCTTTTGCTTCTTGTTGGAAGAAGGAATACAAAAGAGCAGTTGCACTAAGCCTGGCCTGTCCTATGTGAACAGCCCTAAATCTCAAGTCAGAAAATAATCAGCTGCTTCAAGCTGTGAAGGAAACCTTTCATTAAACACCCAGAAGGCCTTGGAGCCCCAGCAATGCCTGCAGTTCAGCCTCTTCCTCCCCCTTCCCTGGACATCTACTCTGGTCGTGGAGTCCCCAATGGCCTTCCTGGTTGCCCTGCTCCCACAGAAAGGTTTTCACACCCCAAACTGCAGTCAGGCTTGACAGCCCCTCTGTTTTTCCCCTTCCTGAGGAGGAAACACAGCTCCTCTTGGCCTACTTCATTATCCCTTGTTAGTCCTGGAAGAGGTAGGCAGACACAGATCATACGGATAACTTGCAGGCTAGGACCCGAGGCCTCATTCAGCAGGAGCTTTGGAGAACTTGTAAGGAGGTCTGTGGAGCCTGGTGGAAGGCAAGGCCTGCTAAGCCACAAGTTAGCCATGTCCTTGCAGCGGTCTGCATGGGACCAGGACATGCATTTCAGTGAAGGGTTCAGATCCTACAAGGCTGTGAACTTGAGCAACATTTTCACCCTTAGCCAACAGGGAGACCTTTATGTCACCCCATGTCAAGATCTTTTGAAAGGATATTTTTTTCCCCTCTGAATGTAAGACTTAAGCAGGCTGCATATTTCAGATGGTGCAGCTTTGCCCTGTACCAGTATTCAATTAAAAAAAAAAAAAAAAAAAAGTAGAAAATTGGGTGTTTATCTCAAAGTCTTACTTTCAGGTTGATGCTGTGACAGAAAAAAATGTGGCTTTTTTATTGCTTAAGAGCAAAGGCATGTATAAGGTCTTTCAGCCAACTGAGGTTGTCTAACATATATACGAGAGGTGGCAGTGTTGCTCTTTAGTTTTCAGCCATTCTGGGGAGTTAAGTGCATAATAATAGATGGTTCCAATTTTTTTCTTAGTCTGGCATACAGCTGAACTTCATACAGTGTAGTGCAATTATGCAACATTGGAATGTTTTTCGCTCTGAGCACATTTTTTTAATAGTCCTAATCCTATGGCACAATTATTGAATATATTAAAAATAATTACATTGACAAGTTGTAATTGTAAAGGCAGCCTATTTTTTTGCGCTGTATGAATTAGACTGAGAATGTAACTTAAAATGGATATAGCTGAGACCACACGACTTTAAATATAGTTTGGGATGTAATGGTTGCAGTAGAAAATCTGAGCAGATTTACATGCTGTCCCACCCTTTTATTAATAAGACTCTAATTTACACTTATACCTTCCTTGGACAGTGCAGTGCTGGAGCTGCTGCTTTTTCCTCATCTGTACATAAAGTTCAATGTTATACCTCAACTCAAGAAAACAAAGTAGT